CATACTATGCAACACTCTGACCAGTATCTATTAATTCAACAGAAAATTAAACTGTGAGCTTACTCCTAACTGCTTACATTTGGTAAAAACAAGTAGAAGAGCAGCAAAGGGGCTATTCAGATCCGTCTGTGGCGCCCCTGGTTACCTAATCCGGTTATTCCAAAAAGCACGTTTTGAAACTTAGATTTTCAAACGTCTGGGTTTCGGAATTCAGCCTGCCTGTGGGGGAAGAGAATGGCTGCAGATCTTTTTTCACTCTGCCTAAGCCCTGCAGTGTAGGGCTCCCGTGTGGCACAGCAATCAGGGTTCTGGGCTCTGAACTGGAAGATTCAGTGGGGTCGAATCCCAAGTGAGACACTGCCCTTTGTACCCTTGAGCAAGGTTCTCGACCTGAGCTCTTTTACCCATATAAATGGGGCCAATGGGGTTTAAGTTGGATAAAGCTGTCAGTCAAATGAATTAGTAAGTACGACAGTGATGCTTGGGTTACTACATTATAATGTAGGTGTGAAGCGTAGTTCAGGACCCTATGCAGACGGTATAGTCCGGAAGTGGGTGGAGAAGGACAACAGGGCAAACACGATGAGGAATCAGGATGGGATGACAGACAGGGGGGCGTGACGAAGGTGATCGGGTACGCGGGGGGGAGTGTGGCGCAGGCAAACAAGTCCAAACAGTCCAAAGAGGAATCCGGGGCACAGTCCAGGGTCCAGGAACCGGGAGAACCATCAGAGACAGACGGGGTTTTAAATCCGGAACGGGATCCGGAACAGGAACAGGGAGTTAAAAACAGGATAACGAGACCAGGCGCTCCGAGCCCCGGTCTCAGACGGTCAGGACGCCGTGATGAAGCCTGTGCCCTCGGGTCTCTCCTGGACCCGCTGGCAGCCGCGCTTCCAGGCGTCCATCTCCCAGTGCTGAGCCAGGAATAGCGAGAGCACCAGGCTTGAATAAGGAGAGACAAAAGAGGGGGCAGGTGCACGAAATCAACTAAAATACAAAAGGGCCGGAGCGCCCTTAAGAGGAGGGATGATGATCGTGACAGTAGGTGACAGCCTTTGTATTGTGAAATGAAAAAAAAAGCTATTTCAGGGGTGTCACTGTATCCAAAGCAAAGAGGCAAGGAAGACTGAATATCTGTCTGACTCCTGCAGCTTTCTTACTAGAGGAATGTTTTTACTTCCCTCTGAGAGTGAGCACGTACCTTTCAAATCTGCGCCGAACACAAAATTCTTACAATACTGACTGCTTGTCTTCCCCTGCTGCTCTGTGACTGTGTAGAGGAGCAACTTGAAAGGGAAACTTCCGAAAAAATATCCCTACGGGACCACACTGTTTCAAGCTGTATTATATATAATTATTGGTTAATTCAGGAAACAAATTACAAATTGCAACAGC